CGTGTTCGCTCCGCTTCACGGAGCGCCGCTGTGTCGAGTTACGACGCACGGACGGGCGTCGTAATGCGGTGTCGCTCCGAGTAGATTTAAGCGCGCGTGGAATCGCTCCTCGACACAAACACGCCACCGATCCTTCGTTATGCAGCACCTTTAACAAAGCTAAAAAAAAAAGAATGTGATTACCGTACCTAGTTTGTACATTTCTAATTGGAGACTTGCTATGATCATCTTTGTCAGCAATGATCAACCCACTGCTGGATGGATAAAGCCTCCCGAATGTTGCCGCCATCTCTCACTATGCTGCGTGTGATATTAGGGAGCACTTCGTTCACAAAAATCAATGTTACTATCCATAGCGATACGAGCAATCACATCGGACTCCGAACCGCAAATTAATGAATGAGAACACCTATTGATTGATACATTTAATTCTAATGCTCATGATGTATGCAGTGATTCACGTGTGTATTCGTATATAATATGTTCTATGTTATTTATTAACATTAACACTGGAGTCCCTATAGCAGTGGTTCTGAATCTTTACTGCAGCCTTGTATGTTATTAAATACATAGGTTTGATGAAACACAGTAGTTGCACCTACGTACCCATGCTCAATTTGCGTTTCTATTATTTACCTTCTAAAAAAATGTGGCCACGTCTCGCACCCCCCCAGAAAGGGCATCTCGCACCCCCAGAGGATGCGTGCACCCCCAGGTTAAGAAGAAGAACCACCGATCTAGAGGGTCTACATTTACTCGCCCTCATATGGCAGCAGCAACATTTTCAATCTAAATTTCGATTTAAAGCTTTCGTGACTGCAGGGATTCATCTTCTTGGTTCTTTCGGTAAAGTCACGTAGAAGGGAAGTAATAAAATAATAAAAATAAAACATAATAAAATAATTCTCACGACGTTTCGGTCACAACACAAGCAGCCGTCCTCAGGTGAAGACCAGGTCTGTCGAGGCGACAGACCTGGTCTTCACCTCGACAGACCTGGTCTTCACCTGAGGACAGCTGCTTGTGTTGTGGCCGAAAGGTCGTGAGAATTATTTTATTATGTTTTATTTTTATTATTTTATTACTTCCCTTCTACGTGACTTTACCGAAAGAACCAAGAAGATTCTCAATCTACTCATAACCCACAACCGCGGCAAGTCATTGACAACGAGGTGGGAAAACGATTACTGTACCTGCCCCGTGTACAATACATGAAGATCCATTTCTTGTGCCTTATAAAATGTTGGGCCAAGAGCCATTTGAAGACCTGCAGTATCAAGGTCAGCGAAAGTATGTCTATAACAGGCACAACTAAATTGATTCTGAATTGGCCCAAGGGAGATGCAAACCAGGTTCAGAAATACTTTTACAAAGGCAAACACTCCCCTTATATCCATAATTTGGGAGAGTGCAGTTATCGAGAGCACCTACTGAGGCAAGCGTGTCACGCACGATGGTAGCGCGGCCAACAACACCGCACCAGGATGTCTTTGTAGCCCCCAGATATTTACACACTGCGCCAGGTACTTATTTAAAGCCGAGTCAACCTTTGTAAGACACGGGACAGGCTCAAGTACCATTCGCTGCCAACGCAAACGGGATTACAGTGCCGTGTGCCAACCACTGCGCGGCCACCGTTCCCCCAATGTGCAACGATAAAGATCCCAAAGACAAATATCCCCCGTATAGCCTTAACAGAATGTTGTGGCAAGTGCTGTTAGCGAGCACCTATGAAGGCCGGCATGGCACAACACAACGCTCGGCCGCCTTTGTTTCCCTCGTGGCGACGTTTACACACCGCACCAGGTACTCATTTGAGACCGAGCCAACCTAGGGGAGGCCCAGGACCGGTTCAGAAAATCGTCACTGAATGTTGGCCGTGAGCAGGAATCAAATTCGCGTCGCCGGGTTGGTAGCGCAGCGCGCTAACTTACTAGACTACCGCTGCCCACACACACCTATACACACACATGCAACTACGCACACACACACACAGACACGCAGCCTTGACTCATGGTAATGAGTCAAGTGATTGTCAATTCTGCATTAGCTTGCGGGATATTTTTACAAGTCTGTTTTCACCGAGGCAGCGGTGCAGTTCAGGCCCACAAGCTGTATAAACACACCGAGAGGAGAATGTGTCTGCACATTCACACTTGCAGCAACGGTAGGAATGTGCAAGTGTTAGGCACCGACCGTATCCTGACATGCACCCACGAGGAGACCTGACAAACAAATATGGCCCCACGCTCCTAATGGCACCTTATTTTCACGTGGTGGCCGCGACTGCTGTTAATTACCATCGCCCCCCCCTTCCATGCGTAAGTTTTCAAGGGCGGCGGATGCCTCTTCAGATTTACTCGCTGACCTGTGAATGAAGCAGCAACTGCGTCACGGTTTGTTCGAGACTCTACGTCAAGTCCTACCGAGACGGGTTGGCTGGGAATGCCGCTGCTCTTTTTTCGCTTACAAACAGCGCACTGGCATTGAAGTACGATGGCTAGCCCTGTCAGATACTGCTTCCAGCAAGACGTTCATTATTTGCTCCATTATCTTTGAAGAATGGAAGAATGTACTGTAATGACATTCATGACATCTTTTGCAAAATAGATCCGAGGCAGATCGTGACTTAAAGCTTTCGTGACTGCAGGAATTCATATTCTTTGGGTCTTTCGGTAAAGTCACGTAGATAGGTTCAAAGAAAATAACAAAAAACTACGACGTTTCGATCGCAACACAAGCGGTCGTGATCAATCGTGAATTTACCGAAAGACCCAAAGAATATAGATCCGAGACAATTGCAGTTACGTGGGGAGCAGTTCACTTACTTTTAAAGATGCTAAGGCTCAAATTCAGGTTAGTTTAACCATCTTTATTGCTCCAGGCTCAACAAAGCAAGTACCACTTTGTTAAAAGTCAACAGTGGTTGTCACATTCATGACTACTGGGCGACTGCCATGGTAATGCGGAAATTCCACCATTCGCTCAAGACGGCAAACAGAGGACGAGCACCGCCCATGTTTACTTGAGCATGGAAATACTTAAAACGCGGTAAATTGGCCCACAGTGCCCGACTCTTGCAAACTATGCCAAGGCCTATTTAATATCCATGTTACAGCTTACTGTACCCGTTACATTATATTATCATCATCAGTCATGGTCGATGCACTGCTGGATGAAGGCCTCCCCAAGCCATTACTCATGGCCCCACGATACAACCGTCCATCGAGCAACTGCACGCAATTTAACGCCTCCGTCTCCCTGTGGCGGACGTCCTCTTGAACGCATTCCCCTCCTTTGGCTGCCACGCCTTCGTTATTCTCACCCCGCCGGCTAACGTCCCCTTGAGCGACGCTTCCTGCCCATGCCCCACTCACCTTTCTTGGGCACTGCGTTAATTATCTACAGACGTTACCCAACAGCTCTGTGGGAAACCTGTCAACCCCACGTAGACTGGCTTGGTGAAGAGCGCGCCATTTGAACGTATTGGCGGTACACCGGTGCAGCATAACACACCGGTCTTAATAAAAAAGGTGTGACGAAGTCGCTGTTGCCCTCGAGTGAGCCACAGACTCTCCATCAGAAGTTGCCCTAGATTCAGCAGCTGCTTTACCATTCGGATGTGTGACACCATGAGTCGTAATTTTTATATGCAAGAAATTGTTCCGGAAACCCATCGAGGAACCGTCCAACCAAGTCTAGGGCAGGAGCCAAATCTGCCTGTGCAACACGGAGCCAATCGTCATCAGGCTGGGTGCTATATGGCAACAGACTGTGAAGCTTAGTGCTCAGCTGCACGTAACATTCATCTTCCGACAGCTTCAACATCACGAGAACTGATTTTGACGCACCACCCCGCAACATTTTCTCACCGGGGTTGCGAATCTGGGGAAAATTAAGTTATTGCCAAATTGTTCTTTTTTTATACTGCGCACCACCGGTGTACCGCCAATACGTCCAATTGTAATTTGGCAACAGGTCGCATAATATACATTTAGATCTTTTGCATATCAATGTAAAACGAAAAACAAATAAAACGGCACTTTGCATATTACGATAGCAGTGGACTATTTTTGTTGTAATGAGCATGTCCCGAGCAGCACATTCATATGGAACCGTTCAGCTGAGCTAAGCAAATGCACACTGCACCTTGGCTTCTCTCTCGAGCAGCAAACATTCATGCACTGCAAAACATTTGTAAGGCACACACGGTGCTACTGCAAAGCTTGAAAAATACCGTCGCAAAACTTGACACCAAACGCCCTAGAGCAGCACAATTTCAGTTGTACAAACGTGAAAGTGGTTCGTTTTGTGTCCTCAATGCCAACTTAAATATTTTTTTTAAATCAACATATAAATGTAGAAAATCGTTTCTACAGTCATTGATGACCGGGCTGAGATCATCAACTCACTACACTTGCATAACTATTCTTCAGTCATGCGTGGCGGTCTTAGAATGAAAACTCGGAATTTCAACAGCGCTGGCTCAAATCCCTGACAAGGGAATAATCCCCACGCAACAGCCACTCACCAAGCTTATTCTGACAGAGTGTCAGCCCCATGAGCCACAGCACCTCACCCACACCTCGAATGAGCAATGCACTTTTTCTAATAATAATAATAAAACGTAGTTCAGTTTGCCCAGGATCTATATAGCAGGAATGCTGTGCGGACCTAAATGGCCGAAGGAGTCGCATTGTGGTGTGGATGTTGCGCCGAAACGTTTGCGTCAAATCTGAACTCTCATTCTGGTCAGGGAAACTCAAAGTCTCCGAGCTGTTTCACGTCCGATGCACGTGGCAGCCCCCACACATCACTCAGTGCGCTTTCAGTCACGGACGCTGTGGAAAACCAGTAGGGGCTTTACCTGGTTAGAAATAAAAACAAATAATAAAACCCGACAAGGCAAATCTGACATAGGCCAGAACATTCTATTTCTCTGCCCGCCCCGCCTTGTATGTCGTGCGAAAAGATCGTTCTCTTGAGTGTCAAATCCTTACCTCCGCACATAACCAGCTTGAGGTCATTTGTATTCCCTTCATAACTGAAGAGAGCCCTACAACGAAAGAGACAAGACAAGGCACGCGCCATTAATGGACCATTAATGATGCATGGAAATTGGCTTTGACATCTACAGCAGAAGTTAACGAGGCATCTAGCAGTAATCAAATCAAACAATGTAAATATTGCACCTCAATTAAACCAGCGACAAAAGCAATTGAACAGCCGAGCTGTGACTTGTTACGGCAACCCTAGAAGCATCAACCGCTTGTGACAGACAGCATCGTTAAAGTCCACTTGTAACAGTTACAAACAGGGGGGCCCCGGGCAGTGCTGTGCTGTTAGTGCTGTGCGAGGAACTTACTTACTCCTCTTCATCCCCTATGGGACGTAAGGCTACAAGTGCGGTGCCAGTATGCCGTCTTACATGATTCGGTTAGAACGTGAAAAGCTAAACACACACACAGGCCCAATTTGGCTCCGGCCACAAACCGATGTCGCTTATCGTCAATTTAGCCAAGGCTCAAGTTGCGTTTTTTGAGTGAATCCTTGAACGCTGATGTAAAAAAAATATTCATTTTTTTATCTTACATTTATTTTCAATTTAAATCAGTTTAGTTGCGGCAGCCATTAAATTATGTATCACAAGTAATGTTGGTGCCAAATGTTGGTAGATTTTGCGAGTCATCGGGAGATCGTAATCTTGGACAACATTAGAGTATCATAATAATAATTATAGTGATAAAGTAACAATTACATAGTAAAAGTGTAGCATTATTTAACTGGCCAATACAAGCTTTGCTTAGGAAGCAAGAGAGTAATATGAATGGAAGATTATTTTTTTACACGAGCACTGTGCAGTCACAGCCAATGGGGATTAAGTCACTCATAATTAAATCGTCTAATGAACATTTCCATGCAACCTGACATTGGGGAAACAGACACGCTCACAATCAGTCATCACTCGGGTTTGTAATTTACTGTACTTTTATTTTACCAAGTAAGGCCCACTGAGCTATGCAGCTCTTTTTTCAGAAGCAACCTGGCCACATAATGATAGCTCAACAAAGCGGCTTATCACGTGGACATTTCTAGCAGCCATTACACTCTAAACGCGTGTTGTCGATTCTAAATTTGGAGGGAAAACCCGGAGGACCCGGGGGAAAAGCCACGTGACCATGGGAAGAGCAAGCGAACTCAAAATAGAGAGGCGTCCGTGTTGGGATCGAACCCACGACCTCCTGTATACCAGATAAGGTAGTTAACATCTCATCACCGTGGCCGTCCATTACAATCTGCAATCACCCAACTCATCGTGGATTAATGGTGGTGCCCAGATACACCGTTTTGTCACGGGGACAGGTCTGGCTATTTTGAGAATTGGCCCTTTGGGAGCAGGTCTAGACGTTAAAATAGCAAAGCATTCTTTCCTGTACTGTACTCCATTGATGGAAATGAAATGTATCGTGTGAAGTGCACATGTGGTTGGAAGACAATTCAACGGTTTGGTTTTTTTGGGTCTTTTTTCCTCCTTTCAAAGCTTTCTAAGTAAGAACATATACAACGTTTGCCGCAGCTGTTGGATGTCTAGGGACTGAAGCAATGTGAGACCGGGGATTTTTAGCTTTGCCCGTCGAAATTATGTCCTGTTTTTAGTTACTTAACACCAGGCTTGACAACCGTTTACCGTCAAACATCACAACTTTAATTCAAGCACATTTTTCCAATATCTGGTAAAATTGCACGGATATCGTTTGCAAGAAAAAAACTTGATCATTTACATTCACAAAAAATATGACAGCAAAACAATGATTGCAAAGTTAATTGAGGCACTATTGCTCAAAATATCACCACCTCACTATGAAAGTTGAGAGTTCAAGTTCAAACCCCATCATTCCTCCTTGGTCGACAAAGTGAGTACTCATTAAATGTGGAAGGACAGTAGGAGTTGTTTAAAGGCAAGACTAGTTTCCATTAAAATAATAGAAAAAAACTACTATACCCACTGCTTGCATACTGCGGTTTGAGATGCAGTCCAATGTAGACGCGATATCCATCTCCAAATTGCAGTTTTTACATCATGTGAAATTTGCAAGAGGCTCAGGACTGCCCTATGGTGATGAGCACTGCCCATTGCTTGGTGAGCGTGGGAGGCAATTTAGATAAATTATGTTCCTGTGTGCTGTTGTGGATAACTTGAATTGCATCAGTAGATTGAGAATGGCCAGTAACTACAGTAAGGTGGCAACACTAAACATGACAGCTGAAATAGGCATCGCACAAGCACCACATAAATGTGATAAATGTAAAATCTTATTACCCAGAGCATAAATGCCAATTTAAAAACGTATATATTATTGTAGGGTTGAGGCAGTGACGTATTGGCTGGCACACTGCACTGTCAACCCAGAGACATAAATTTGCTTCCCAAACAAGGCCAAAGTCAGTGACAAACTGATATTGCTCTCCGAATATTGTTATACACTTTATATGTGTATTATTATGTGCATCCACGAGTCACGGCGAGGTCAATGTTGCATTGAGTGTGTTGGGCAATGTACACAATGTACAGAGACAAAACGTAACAATGTGCGCCTTAGTTACTTTATAGAAAATGAGATAGACGGGAGGAGAAAAAAGACAACCCAAGCCGGTGTAAGCCGGCTCAATAATCGAGATTTTTTTTCTTTTGATGATTCTCTTCCGGTTGAATGCAACAGAATGAATGCATCCATTCACACACAAAAAAACAACAGGTGCATGTATAAAACACATGAGTGCATTCACATCCAATAAACCTATGGATGGGAAAATAACAACACTGCGGAAACACCAAATGCTGCCAATGAAAATACATTTCCCAATGTAAAAAACAACTGATCGCAAAAGCATCAAAGCCTCCACAGTTCGAAAAGTTTTCTTGGCAAAACCGGCGAAAAAGAGACACTGCTGCACACAACAAGGACACTGTTGAAGCAGGGATTTAAGTTGACGGTTTAAGGGCTCTCATTGACTGTTCTTAACCCACGTGATGGAACGAGCCCCATGCTTGCCAGGCTTCCACCCCCAACAAGAATCGACCCAGAACTGCCTCCTCCCGAGCGAGCCGGGTGTTGAACCGGCCGTAGCGGCTGCTACGAACACATCGCTGCCTTCACCACCCTCATAGAAAGCTGGTTTCCAACGTTAACACAAACCGAGCACAGCAATGGCTGACCTCTCCGCCTGCGCTGCTGCCCATGACACTGTTTGGCATCGTGGCCTGCTGCGGGAGTTAGCCACAATCATCGGATGCCGTTCGACTGAACGCCTAATCGACGCGATGCTCAGCAACCGTGCTTGCAGGGTGAACACCTTCGCTGGTGAACACAGCTGCAAGAGAACTATGAAGAATAGCCTACTCCCTCAAGGCTCGGTAACCAGTACCGTCACTATTTTATATTCACATATAAGTGACGTGCCATGTACATCGTCTCGCAAGTTCATATATGCAGATGCTGCATAGGTTACAAACCTCAAGAATATTGTAAATAGTCTAAGAGATTATCTAACTTTATTGGAGACATATTTCCGTTCACGGAGACTCCGACCACATCCCTCCAAAACCACAAGCGCTTCCCACTTGAACAATCGTGCAGCAGATGCCACCTTTGATGTGTCCTTCAGTGGTAGCCCAGTGCACTATGACCCCATTCCAAGATATCTAGGGGTCATCATGGACAGAATCCCAACCTTCAAGCCCCACATAAAACAGATCTGTGAAAAGATCAAATTAAGAATCGGTCTGCTGCTGCACAAACTTGCAGGAACGACTCGGGAGGGCACCTCAGCTGATGCACCGCGAACTGCCGCCACCCTATTCTTGGTTCTTTCGATAAAGTCACGTAGAAGGGAAACAATAAAATAATAAAAAGAAAAACAATTTTTAGAAGGGGAAACAATAAAATAATAAAAAAATATTTTATTATTTTATTGTTTCCCTTCTACGTGACTTTACCGAAAGAACCAAGAATATGAATCCCTGCAGTCACGAAAGCTTTAAATCAAAATGCCGCCACCCTCTCGCTGATCTACGCGGTGGCACAGTCACTGCGCTTCCAGCCTGGTCCGCAAGCTCGTACACAAAAACCGCTACACGCACAATTAAATAACGCAATCCGCCTCGTAACGGGAACACTGCAACCGACACCAATCCCCCTGCTTCCTGTTCTGACATCTGCTGCAGAGGTTTGTCTCCAGCGATCAGCCACTGCTGTTGCCCAAGTTTCGTTGATATTGGTTAAATGCATTCAAGTATTATTTCGGCCAATCTTGAAGCCACAGCGAGGCATATCGGAAAGACAAACACAGACAACTCTTCATACCCATGAAAAAAAGTCAAGAAGTCAACATGCCCACTCATATGGACAGCGACACATATCTCGCCTTTGTTTCCGTCTGGCACAATCTGGAACTACTGTGGAGTTCACACCTGTGACATTCAAGGGTCTACTCATACAGTATATCCTTCCTGTGCTAGGTCTTCCCAAATGCTCGTCTCTGCCCCTGTTTGTGAAAACAAACAGGCTTGTGGCTCGCATTATGCACGTGACTGACTTGGGCCAAGAGGTGCGTAGCTTAGCGTGCATGCCATTGGTCCATGGCAGGAATTGTGTTTGACCAAGGTAATAAATAACGTCAGTGTCCAAATATAGACACCCCACTAAAATAAAATGGAGAAGTTCTAGAGAAAACACAACGTTATAATTCAAAGCCTCTCCAACCAATCTCAATTCACCAATACAACATTTGTACTCTCTCCTGCCACATTACAACACAATTCAATTTGGTTTTAGAGCAACATGAAAACAAAGAGTGGTCTGGCTTGCCGGTTTGCTAATGTGTGCTCATGCTCTCGAGCGTACGTTCAGTCTAGCCACAGGCAGAATCAATACCACATGGCTGGTGTGTGTAGTTCACAAATATTTTCCGAACGCATTTGCCTATGGAAAAAAAATCATCCTTAAGCAATGCGCTAAAAAAAGACCAGGGCCTTTGGAATGTATTTTTTTTAAA